TTTTTTCAGGCGGTTTGTAGTCACTTCATTTACTTGTGTTGTGTACTTTTAAATAAAATAAGATGGCAAACAATACATGAAAATTTATTTGTAAATTGAAACAACCAAAAAATTACCAATTAATATTATACCTAGACAAAGCGAAAAGTGAATCAAAAATGAAATGATTTAAAAAATATTTTGTTCAAAATGGGCGCCTCCGGACTGTAGACAAGCACGACATCTTCTAATTATGGAGGTAGTGGCCGATCGACACTGAATTGGAGTTAATTCTCGACACGCTTGAGCTATTCGCTATCTTAGATCTTCTGGGGTATTAACTGGCACCTTGTAGACTTTTTGTTTAACAGCACCCCAAACTAAATAATCTATCGGTGTCAAGTCCGGTGAACGTGTGGGCTACGCTGCAGGTCCTCCACGACCAATCCATCTCCTGGGGTAACTAATGTTTAACCACTCCCTAGGACCTCTACCAAAATGGGCAGGACAAACCATCTAGTTAAAAACCAACTGTTAATTCGAGTATTAAGCGGAACATCTTCTAACAGACCTTGAAAACCATTTTCAAGGAGCTCGGTAAACATGTCAGCATTTAACCGATGCGGAAGGAAGTAGGGACTAACTATAGTGTTGTCCAACACACCCAACCATATGTTACATTGGAATTCATGCTGAAAACTATGTTCCCTTACCGCCTGTGGATTCTCGTAGGACCAAATATGGTTGTTCTTTTGGTTTAAAATTCCCCTTCGAGTAAATGTTGCCTCATTTGACCACATTACTTTTTGCGTAAACTGATCATCATTCTCTGCTTGGTTTATTTAAAGTTTATCGACAGAATCTAGAAGCACCCTTCCAAAAAATCAATTTTGCCATGAAACTATAAGAGTTAGGAAAAAAGTGAATCTACACTTTTTGTCAATAACAAACTGTCCTATCTAAAAACAGCATCATTTTTTATTTTCAGTAGGGCCCTATTATTTTTTTTTATAATTGAATCAGTCCCCATAACTCCGCCACTGGTTGCTTGCGGGACTTCTACTTCTATGGAAAAATGGTATCTTATAAGAAGATGTGTCATGCCAAATTTGGCTTAAATAGCATTCTTCATTTAGAAGTTATTTAAAAAATTCAAATTTACCTAGAAGGAAAGGACTGTATAAATACACAAAATATATAGGAAAACGATAGTTGCAAATACCACTATTATAGTTTATCTTGTTATTGAAGGGCTCTCCTGGACATCTTGAATTTGAGTGGAGGTTATCTAAAGGCACATGTAATACATAGCCCGTCAGCCCGCTGCAAAATATCGTATCGTTCATTATGCGCATGCTGACCAAAGAACAAGTATGCGCCAGTAAAGGTAATTGTTAATTGCAAAGAAAATTGCATTTTACAATTATATTTACATGTATGCGAAGTATACTAAACGGTATTTTAGCTATAAGCTATATAACAATTAATCAGAAAATGGTCAGCATATGAATTTTTAAACACAGTGCGTCCTAGAAGTAACGCAAAAAATTCGTATTTTACTTTATGTTGAGTTTTCACGAAAACGCTAAAACATGTCAATTAGTAAATAGGAATTGTCATTTTGTTACGTTGGTTAAACCTTTTTTGCGGTATGTTTCATAAACCTATGACGTCATCGACATTTTTTTTAAATAGCACTACCTAATTTTTTTAAGCATAAATGTATAGCTCTTTTGAAGGGAAATGCGTTGATATAGGGTTTGGCCTACTTTACTTTGACAGGTACGAAAAAAAAAAGCCAACGATTGGAATGGACATGGTTTGAATTAATAACAAACGTAGATATCACAAACTTATGCGCGAACAGTGCTATAGCAAAAAATGTGGTTTGGTTGATTGTAGGTACATGTTTCTATGTAGATTTGGTAGGTACACCCGATCACAGCGGCTATGTAGGTATTGTTTTGAAGACGACAGCTAATGCAATAGTGCCTCATATTATTGTGACAGTTACAAATACCATAACTTTACATTACGATGGTGTTGTGTTTAAATGAGAAACAAAGAATTGAAATCCTCATTATGGTTGGATACGGAGATAGGATCCGTAGTTATGATGAAGTCTGTTAATTATTCAATGCCAAGTATCCAGAACAACCAATACCTCCACCTACAGTATGCAGATTAGTACGCAAATTTGAAGACGCTGGACATGTTAGAGATCTGTCTAGATCTGGAAGGCCAAGGACAGTGATAGAAAATGATAGGCAAAATGTTATTTTTAGCTGTCACTGAAAATCCACACACTGCCGTTCGTCGTATCACCGAAACGAAAACGTCAACATATCAATACATAAAAACGTACCTACAATCAACAAAAACTCAAAACATCCACAAATTTCCATTTTTTGCTGTGGTACTGGTCTCGCACCAGTTTATGATACCTACTTTTGTTGTAATTTTAAACCATGTCCATTCCAGTCATTGGCTTTTTTTTCGCTCCTGTCAAAGTAAAGTAGGCCAAACCCTATCGACGTATTTCTCTTCAAAAGGACTATCGAGTTACGCTTAAAAAATTAGGTAGTACTATTTAAAAAAAAATGTTGTTGACGTCATAGGTTTATGAAACATAGCGCAAAAAAGGTTTAAGCAACGTGACAAAATGACAATTCCTATTTACTAATTGATGTGTTTTAGCATTTTTGTGAAAACGTAACACAAAATAAAATACAAATTTTTTGCGTTACTTCTGGGACACACTGTACAGGGTGTCCCTGAAAAGTATGGACAACGCTTGACCACAGGTTCCTTAGATGAAAATAAGAGCCTAACTTACCTATATACAAAAGTGCATGCCTACTGAGATATAGTCTTCTAAATATAGAATAGATAACCTAGTTTTTTTCAAATAATTTGAAAACTATTTTTTTAAAAAACTTCAAATTTGGTACACATATTTTTTATATAAGGGCAACGTAAATAAAAAATTTGGCGATAATACATATACAGAATGTTCTCTTTCTAGTGCATGTGCGCCACTGGCTACACTGCAATTTTTTTGGGTGTACGTCAGTGAGGCCAGAATTTGTATTTTTAAAAATAAGCACTATTTTAGAAGATTTATTTGCTCATACAAAATTTAGATATCGTTTATGGATTTTAAGTAAAATTGGAATTTTTTATACATTAAATATTGGCAAAAATTCCTATTTGTAAAAAATAATTTATAACTGCAGCCTCAAAGCAGGAAATAATAATGAAAAAACGTCACATTAAAAAAAATAACCACATTTTTAGTCTTAATCAATAAAATAAAAAATTAACACTAGTATTTTAAATAAACAATATCAACTAATAAATGTAAGAAAGGCAACATTAACATTTTAAATAAACCTAAATTGATATTTGTAATCACATTAAAATATTATTCCAGTAAATGCTCAAAGTGACTGCCTTGTTCTTAAATGCAAGCATTATTTCTTACAAAATTAATAAATTTTATCCAATAATTGTGCATTACCTCTTATAACAATAATTTCATTTTGTATTCTTTTCCATAATTCGCTTTCTGTATTTACTGAAAAGGTATAAACTGTTGTCCTCAATGCTCCCCAAAGGAAATAATTACATGGGTTTAGGTCCGGGGATCGAGGTGGTCATTTTAAAGGGGTATTATTTCCTCTACCTATCCATCAATACTCTATTAACGGAACTTTTTGAAAACCAACCGCTGCCGCTAACTTGTAAAATTTCTTCGACCCTTTCCAAAATTTGTTCCTCCAGCCAATAGTTCCGGCCGTACGTTGTCTACGATATAATATTACAGGTAAAAAACGTCCTGTTTCCCTGAGGCGTCTCTCCGCATTAGCAAATGTTTTGTGATTTGGAATTCTTGGATTAGAAAATCTTTCAGCATATGTTCGAACAATAGCACAACAATTTCTTTTGCAATACCCCAAAACTAATAACATCAGTTTGTTCAGCAAAAGTATAAATTGCAATGAAAACAAAGTAAGCTAAAATTAAATCACACTTAGCTTGACACTGAACCTTTTAATTATTGTTATGAATTTGTTTTTGTTATATGGTACCTCGTACTAGACTATTCTAATAATCTTAAAATAATTTTATATTATTTAATGTGTAAAAAATGCCAATTTTACTCAAAATCGAAAAAATCGAAAAATTTTTAAAAATATAAATTCTGTCGTCATTGGTATAGACACAAAAAAATTATTTGAAAAAAACTAGGTTGTCTGTTCTATATTTAGATTTTTTTATATCTCAGAAAGCGTGCACTTTTCTATATAGGTAAGTTAGGCTAAATAGTCTTATTTTCATCCAAGGAACCTATACGGTCAAGTGTTGTCCATCCTTTTCAGGGACACCCTGTATATAGCGAACAATTCAAATGACACTTCTATGACAAATGAAATCGACCCCACCTTCAAAAGCTGCAACGAATAAAATGAAATGTTTCTTTCGACTAAAAAAAGTAGATTCTTTATTTGACATGAATTTTTTTTTGTTACTGTGTTTCTATGTCAATGTAATTTACTGCTCAGCAAATAAGCATAATATATAGTACATACTTTTCAAGTTTTGAATAAAGATTATTTGTTGTGATAATCCCAAAGATGAAGCTTTGGCTTCTAATCGAATATTTTATGGCAGACTCCATCACATTTAAATGCGCGTCAAAATGAAATGCAGAAAATATGTGTTTATCTTTTGAAGTCTGTTTTTCGTTAAAACACTGTAATTGTTTAACAAAACATCGTACATCACACGTTAGAGTGAAATGGTATTATAAGTATGTGAGAATTTGTCACTCTTTTGCACAAGCACCTTTAAATCAAACAACTCACTTATAATAGCTTATTTCACTCACATGTCATAATGTACTACTATTCAAACATAAAAAAAAATTATACAGGGTGTCCCAGAATATGTGGGCAATCTCTTGGATTTATACAGGAGAAATAACATGACAAGACTCTATAAAAATTTTCCCTAGAGGGTTCGCCTACGGAGATACAGGCCCCTAAAGGACGCCCCTGAAAATCGATTTTTTTTTAATAACTTTTAAAATTCTTTGTGCAATTTAATTATTTTTAGAAAAAAAAAACAAATGTAAATAAAAGTGGCATTTTTTTCAATAGGCACAGAAAGAATGCAAATATCATCGGCTTATTTCTCTTTACGGATGTAATAAAAATCGTATTAAACAAAAATAGTTTCTCAATATCAATCAAGAGTGCCTTTTTTTAATTTAAAGTTCAAGCTATCTAAAAATATTATTTTTGTGGCTTTATTGTAAATGGTTTAAAAAAAATATTGTGCTGCAGCTAGTCCGTCCCTGACAAACCAAATAAGCCAAATCGTTTTTATAGGTCAATTTTTAAGGAGTTTTATCTGTTGTCCATCGTGTTAAAAAATAATTAAATTGCACAAAGAATTTTAAAAGTTATTAAAGAAAATCGATTTTCAATTTTTATAGAGACTTGTTATTTTAACGTCTGCTTGTATAAACCTGAGAGACTGCCCACATATTCTGGGACACCCTGCATAAAAAGGGTATACATATTACATATGTATTTTTTAAATTTAGATCCCACTTTGTCATTTCCCAAGGAGTTTCCCACAAGCTGTTTACTCGGCTGTGTATTTGTGGAAGACTGCATGGAGCAAGAAGCCTACCGTAAAAAATATCCAAATGGAGAAAGCAACAGTCCCTTTGTCTTGATTTGTTCAAATCCAATCATTTTGCCTATATTTTATCCGATTATTGGCAAACATAAAATATGTAAGTTGGTTTGATTATGTCTAGGAATTTGAAATAAGTTTGATAATGAAATCTTTAAAAATTTACAATTAAAATAATATAATTAGGTATTCCGTTTGTAGTTAAAAAATTGTGATTTAAGGTGTAAATGTAATTGGTTTTTTTTTTACAGATCCATTAGATAAGGAATTGCACAAATGTGCGAAGATGGCTTTACAGCATGCTAAGTATATTTCCTAGAAATGTTTTGTTTTATCTTTTGTCTCTGAATAAAAATTGAAACCTGATTTGTTGTTCTTCTTTCCTAGTGATTGGTCTGAATAAGTCACATGGCACCGTGGCCTAATTAGGCCTATTGTGCGTCCCACTACTAATCCTATTCAGCAAGTAGTTTTGTCCTTTTGACAAAGTCCAAAAGCTTCCTTGCTGACACTTTTCTTCCTAGTTCCTTGGGTTCCAAATAAGGTCTCCCCAGGAGTGCCATTCTACTACGTGCAAATCCCGGGCACTTGCAGAGAAGTTTCATCTGCCGAGTCAGCCTCAGCAGACCAGACTGTCTACAAGCTTTGGCTTATGTACATGTTTCCGAAAATTAACAGTGACCCGTTATGAGTCCCGTCACTCTCCTGAGCCGGATTTTATTCAAGGCTAGTAAATCATTTGCTCTTTCCTTTGAAGGATACTCCATGAGCTCTTTAGAATGGCTATGTCCTGGCCTTGAAGTCCAGTATTTCCTATGTTCTGTCTCTGTCCATTTGCCCAGAGCCCGCTTGACCACACTGGGAGATGTACCACAGACTCCGAGCCAATGAACTCTGTCTTAGATATTTATTTGACAATAACGTGCAAAAACAGTTTCAAATTTTGCAAAATAGAGGAATGAGAATTATATTACGATGCAATAGAAGTACTCCCATATATTTAATGCTTAACGTGTTGGAATGGATGTCTGTAGAATTACGTTTGAAATATTTAGCATTAGTTTTTATTTACAAAATAGTCAATCATCAATTACCTTCCTATTTCGAGCCGTTTATAAAATATGTTGGAGAAATACACAGTTATGATACAAGAAATGTAAATTGCTTATATTTGAATCATGCAAAATGAGCATCTGCGCAAAAAACTATTTTCTATAAAGGTTTCAAAGAATTTAACTCCTTGCCAAGTAATATTAAAAATTCTGTCTCTTTAACTGTATTTAAACATAAACTTCGTGATTTTCTAAAATAAGTAAGATTAATATATAGCAAATTGTACCCATGTTAAATTTTATGTTGTCATATAGTAATTGTATATTGTATTTTAATAGGTAGTATTATAGATATATGCTGTTACGTGATACTGTGTATATTAGGTATTTCATATTTAAATAAAGTTTATTTCTTTCTTTCCTTCCTAGCAAGTNAAAAAAAACAACAGACAATCGCTTAGAAAAGAATCCATAACACAATTAAAATAAAATACAGTTACCTAACAATAATCAAAAGTTTAAAATAAAAATCCTCAACTATAAACTATAAAATCAGCTGTCCACTCAATAGATATAATTTAAATTTATACTTGAATTTGTTAATATTAAAAATTTTAAAATTATCAGGAAGAGAATTGTATAAAGTGATAGAATTATAAGAAAAACATCTTTTAAATAGGGCGCTACGATGATGTGGCATTGTAAAGGTATTTTTAAATCGGATATTCCTCGAATGAACATTAGAACGCTTAACAAATTTAGTTTTTAATGAATAATAAGAAGGAATGGTTAAAATAATAAAATTTTATGCACAAGATTTCCAAGATGGTGACGTGGTCGATTCTCCATGTTGAGCCACTTAATCTCTACAATTTTGTGAGAAATATGATCAAATTTTCTTAATCCGTGTACAAGTCGACAACATGAATTTTGAACTTTTTGAATTCTATTTTTTTCTTGTACACTAAGGCATTGACCATAGACATAATCACAGTAATTAAAATAGGAGAGAACAAGTGACTCACATAACATAATTTTAAGTTTTTTATTCAGGATATGACGACTACTATAAATTTATCTAAGCAAAGAATAAGATTTTTGGAGTAATGTTTTCACGTGCTGATTGAATCGTAAGTTACTGTCAAGAGTCACTTCCAGATTTTTTACACTGTCAGTAATAGGAATTGGAATACCATCAATTATAATATTAAAGTTGAGTTTTAATATTTGTACTTTTTTCTTAGTACCAAAAAAAATTATTTTTGATTTGCTAGAATTTAATTTTAAATTATGTTCATCAGATAATTGTCTTACAGTTTGTAACTCAGAGCTGACAATAGGTCTGTTCCAACAAGAGTCAGGGATTGGTTCCGAACTGTCAGAAATGTGCATCCAACTAATTCTTGCGATATATTCACTGAAGACACATTTGAAACTTAGCTGGCCAAACATTTCAAACGGTTCGGAACCAATCCCTGACTCTTGTTGGAACACACCTATTATTGCATGCTTGATCCAGATCATTAATATCAAAATGATAATATAATTGAGTATCATCAGCATAAGCTTGTACTTTACATTGTTGAATTGATTCTAAAATGGAAGCAGTGTAAATTATAAAAAGTAAGGGACCCAAAATTGACCCCTTTTTTTTCTTGTCGTACCATAGAGACACAGTAATTTAGTAAATTTTTGTATTGTAACCAATCAGTATGCTCGTGAGTACGTTTAAATTTTTGAAGTGCCTTATTTCTTTGTTTCATGATTAATTTTAGATTAGGAGTCAGCCAAGGAGCTCGAGGTTTAGTAACCCTTACTTTTCTTACAGGAGCATGTTTGTCAAAAGGACTTATTAAAAACTTATTAAAAATCGAGATCTTTTTATAAAGATTAATTTCATAAATCATCTCAAACCAAGATATGTTATACAAATCATTTAAAAAATCGTTCAAATTAAAGTGCTTACAACAACGGTATGAAATAATTCTAGGCACTATTTTATTATTAGTAAATTTTAGGTTACAAAATACCATTCTATGGTCAGATATACCTTCAGCAGCAGTAATATATAGCAAATTTGTACCCATGTTAAATTTTATGTTGTCATATAGTAATTGTATATTGTATTTTAATATGTAGTATTATAGATATATGCTGTTACGTGATACTGTGTATATTAGGTATTTCATATTTAAATAAAGTTTATTTCTTTCTTTCCTTCCTAGCAAGTTCATCCGCTTTCTCGTTCCCACAAATGCCTTTGTGCCCTGGCACCTAACACAGTTTAACTGTATTATTGGTGGTCAGTTCAATCAGCATTTGTAAACAATCCCACATAAGTTTTGAACTTATCTTGTGTGCACTTAAAGCAGCTTTAATTGTAGCTTTGATTTGTTGTTAGTTTCTTAGAAAATGATATCAGTAGCGACCAACATGGTTTCATGCGAAGTCGCTTTACATCAAATTTATTATAGGTACCTTAAACAATACCGGTCGGAGCACCTTTACAATCAGAGCAAGTGGATGTGATCTACACTTGATTTTCTAGAGCATTTTCACCGGTTGCATCATGGAATCCTTACTTGAGTGTAGTTAGCCCCCAAAGTTAGCCCCCAAAACTAANCGGCGATATAGCGCTTTGACAGATGACGTTTAAGTTCATTTGCTATACGCTACGCCCTACGTCCAAATTTTCAGAACCAACTTGACCACGTTTTTATTTGAACGTTCGTTAGTAATTGTATATTGTATTTTAATAGTATTATAGATATATGCTGTACGAGATACTGTGTATATTAGGTATTTCCTATTGAAATAAAGTTTCTTTCTTTCTTTCTATTTTTAAATCGCCTCTCAAACTCTATCAAATGACATTATTAGATCGTCTCTATGGTAACATATGTCAAACATGCTATAGTCAACTGTTTTTGTTCAAATGGCACATTATACAGGGTGGGCCACCAGTAACTCCGCGGTCGCTAGGGACCAAAACGCTAAATGTTACAGAAACCTGTTTAGGTGGGTATGTGTAGGTTGATTACGGCTACATTTCGACAAATATAATAATTTATAACTTCAAGGATCTAAAATACACTCTCCATAGCTGCTTCCTTAAAATTATTTTTTTATTGCAAATATTAAATTTCTACGCGAAGCCTGCATTTTCACTAAAATTGAAATATCTCAAACTGTAAGTCCTGAGTATGCAGAACCTATTTTTATGGTGCTTTCAAAAATGCAGTAAAATGGTACGCTTTTTCTTTTTCAAAATATTTTTAAAATGTAGGGAATTAACCTACACATACCCACCTAAACAGGTTTCTGTAACAATTGCCGTTTGGTCCCTAGCGACCGAGGCGTTACTGGTGGCCCACCCTATATATTTTTTTTATCAATTCTGGAAGATATTTTTTTTTCTGCATTCACCTATGTAAGGAAGTTTATAGTTTCATCAGAAATATTGTTAGAAAAACAGCAAAAAAGATGAACCCTATTTTTCGTAGCTTTATTCTGAAAAATGATAGCCAGCTGTGGAAACAAGTTACTATGTTTTTTAAAGTAACACATTTTTTTTTAATACGATAATAATATAACAATTTAAAAAAAATACTTATTTCAAATGTTCAAAATGACTTCCATTTGCTTCAAACACAGAATAGCTCTGTTTATCAGTCCCTCTCTACAAACACATTCTAGAGTTTCTTCATTTAATCTCCGATATTCTACTCTTATTCTGTTTTTAAGGTCGTCAATATTATTTAGGTAAGGCCAAAGAAAGAAATCTATAGAAGTGAGATCAGGAGATCTAGCAGACCATTTAACATCTTTATCGAATGTTCTTCATCTTTACCCTTCTGGGTTTAAAAACTCTTCTTTTCTTTTGAAAATTTCCATCTGCCGCCAAATTCCTGGCTAACTTTCCGAAAATTTTATCTGATGGAAGTTATCTCTGCGGAAAACAATGTTGGTATAAATACCTGGCAGATGTAGCGTTCTTTCGGCCCTCTCCATAAATTATTATCATATCTAGTTTTTCTTGGTTACTATAAGTATTTATGTTATAATTACTTACNAAAAGATGAACCCTATTTTTCGTAGCTTTATTCTGAAAAATGATAGCCAGCTGTGGAAACAAGTTACTATGTTTTTTAAAGTAACACATTTTTTTTTAATACGATAATAATATAACAATTTAAAAAAAATACTTATTTCAAATGTTCAAAATGACTTCCATTTGCTTCAAACACAGAATAGCTCTGTTTATCAGTCCCTCTCTACAAACACATTCTAGAGTTTCTTCATTTAATCTCCGAT